TGTGTGTGTGCGTATGTCTGTCTGTGTTGTGTGTGTGTGCGCGCCCGCGTGCGTGCGTGTGTGTGTACAATCCGTTGTGCTTGTGTGTTTGTGTGTAGCAGATCACAACTCACTACCCCTACAGTACTACTGACTAGGCTTCCCATTAAACCATCTCTCCTCCACTTGTCTTCTGTTACCTTTGTGCTAGGTTCATTCCCCGCTGGTGCTGCTCCTGGTGCTGCTGGTGCTGGTGTTGCTGCTGGTGCTGCTGCAGCAGCTTCAGACAACTGGCCACAAGGGTAAGTAGCTGGCTGTGTGTTGATCGGTTTGGATGGCAACATTGCATACCTGCCAGCTATCCCGATTTGGCCCCGTGACCGTCCCGATATCGAGGGTGGTAATAGGCACCAAAAAGTGTATTTGTCGCATGCATTTTGTCATTATCCCCCATTTCAGGTTTCCAAGGGCTGGCAGGTATGGCATTGCCTACACACATATGTCTCAATTCATCTACAGACTTGACCTCTAGTTCTCGCTCCACTGTCATACTGACGTACAAAGAGGCATAGGTAACAATGGCACCAACACACACATTGAAGGGTACGATACTGTCGGTTGCCGTAGAACGGAGTGCCGTAGAAAGAACAATGCTAGAATATCACCAAGCACAGTAGACCAACGTATAAACAGGGGCGTGGGAAGGTATTTTAGTGTGGTACGGTCAGCCATCTGAAGTACAATTTACTCGTGAGGGAGTGGTGGCTGAGCCGAAACTCTTGGAATTTCGGATCCCAGATCAGTGCATCTTTTTGATTCACGGGGTATCTGGAGCAAAAAGTGGTACGGTCGAAACGTGATGACCATACCGTGTGCGACGTCCCTGATAAACAATGACTCGAATGTGCCTAAACTTTAGCAAGTAAACATAAATTTAATTACCCGGTCCGTTCCTGAAGGGAACTAAGGGCCAGGCAGGCAGGCAGCCCAGGATCAGGCAGGCAGACAGCCCAGGATCAGGCAGGCAGGCAGCCCAGGATCAGGCAGGTAGGCAGCCCAGGATCAGGCAGGCAGGCAGCCCAGGATCAGGCAGGCAGACAGCCCAGGATCAGGCAGGCAGGCAGCCCAGGATCAGGCAGGAACAGTGGGCTAGTTACTGAATATGATTGAGATAGACTGTTGTACAGTCAGACCTCGCTTAACGGCACGCATCCATTTTCCACAAAACAATCTCTGGATACTAGTAGGCGAGGGCGAGGGAACCGGATAATTGAACACCGGTTACTGTATAGCAGGAAACCTTCGGAATTTATTTTCGTACGACTTCGTACACGGCCTCTTTTGTACTAAAATTAATTCCGTGCTAAGATTTGTTCCTGTGAAGTTACGTACACTGTGCACTATACATGCGTACTGCATGCCAACACCACGGCTGTTTGCAGTGCATGAACTCTGGCCAGTCGTCCCCGTACGCAAAATGCGTACGCATTTGGATCTACCGTACATTTCCTCGTGTTTTGGGCGAATCTGAGCGGTACCACGCTGTCGAATTGGGCCTGCGTTTGCCCGGAACCAGCCGCTATCGAAGTAAAATTAGGTGTTTTGAAGGCCACACGGGAACACTGCGGCCATGTCTTCTTTTCTGCGCCGTTTGTTTGAAAATCGGAGTGTTTTTGAGTTCGAAGTTTCGTCTTCGTTGTGGAATGGCCGTGCGTACATTCTCCTTGGAATTACCAAAGTCACACCCCCGTTTCTTACATTACTAGAAGTTTTGCAGTCAGCCACGATAGTTATTATACCTGCTTCCATACATCCTTTCATTGAACAGCCAAACGAAACTTTGTGGCGCGCCTTAGTTTTTTGTGGCGCGGGGGGTCACAAGTTTGTCACTTCGAGTTGTACACAACAACCACATCATCCCAAAGGACCAAAAAAACCAATTGAGCAAAGTATTTCAACGTTGCGACTTTGCCTGGCCTACTGTGAAGATGGAGACTTCTACTCGGTTGCAGATACTCGTATCAAGAAGATAGGAGGGAAAGCGTGGTGAGTAAAATGTTGGGATGAAAAGAGCCACATTCTCTCTCAGAAAAGGTTGTCGTTCCCACACACGTACACTATTTGCTCTACCCAGATCTGCAGAAGGCTAGATTCGCATCCGCCGCGCACATAGGCAGAGTCGAAATTTTTGTACTCTCAGATTTGCCGCCATCTTGACGAGTGGCCGCTGCGAAACACCCGTGACACGTGCATTTAGCATCCAGCACTGTACGAAAATAAAATGCGTGCGAAAGGTCGAAATTCGGCTTTTTCGGAAAATATTTCCGTCCGCAAATTTCCTGCTATACAGTATGTTGGATGCACGACGCATGCTGTAAACCTGTAACCTGGTATTTTCATCCGGATGACGAGGGATCGGGATGAAAGAGGGGGGACCGGAAAAGCAAGGTCTGACTGAACATGAAAATATGAATGGTGTACAGTACTGTAGAACGCCAAAGAACTGGCCGGTCAGGGTTCTAACCTAGCACGGTATTATATTTTAGAGAACGCAACAGCCATGTTCTTATTTGATGGTACAGTCTTACATGTACATTTATGCAGAGTTATACGTCTGAGCGTACATTAAACTGTTCATTGCAGTTTCCGTTCTTATGTGCAAAACATACAGCCTTCATCATTCTTGAAAATTGTTGAAATTCTAGTCTGGCCGTTCTTCGGCGGTCCGTTCTTCGGCGCTCCGTTCTTCGGCGCTCCGTTCTTCGGCGCTCCGTTCTTCGACACCCGACAATACTGTAGGCTAGGAGGCTGACCCACCAGTTTATCAGCACCCGGCAGTGCAATACTGTAGTCGGTCAGAGCAGATGTGACTAAACGGTGAGACTCGAAACTGACCGAGGAGGCCAGGAAAAAAAACAAAGAAAAACAACAAATCAGATGCCATGTTTGCAAGTGAAACATTTTGTGCGAGAAAACATTTCTTTCTTATCTCGCTGCACTCACCCGGTCAGAAGCATAGCCTCTCTTTCTTGTTCTCCTCTCTTTCTGTTGCAAATAGCTGCACATAACACCAGGCACCCGTACTGTTTTCTCCATCCGATTCTCTCTTGACTAAAAGCCGCGGAGACAACAATTTTCATCACAATGAATGGAACTAAGTCTGCCGTCATCACCATGCATCAACGAAGTCAAATGTTTTCCAGAATCGATTTTCAGGTCACTATCTTCAGTTGAGTATCATGCTGACTTCGTTCATGCATGGTGATTATCCCAGAGTTTTTGTTCTATGTTTTGCTTCATTAAATTATCTCTTTTCTTTTTGTCTTCTGACCCGCCATGATTAACATGAAAGTACATGTCGCTTTCATATGTTCTGTCCTTCTTTCAGGCAGAAATGCCTGTCCCATGTGACCGACTGGAAGGGATTCAGCAAATGCTTGGAAAAGTGTGTTAGCCCCCTGAACCGTGGTAAGCATGTTGTTGCCTATCTGTGTAGAATCAAAGATGAAACACCTACCGTATTGTCCGGAATATAAGCCGCACCCTGATATTTTGTCACCAAACACAATCGTGAAGAAAGCTTCTGCCCCGAACGTCGAAGCTCGCGCTTCCTGCCAACTGACTTGACAATTGAGCCCGCCAAACCTTCCACTCGGCAAACCTGCAAAAAAGCACCACTCCCTGTTTAATGCACAGTGTTGAGGGGAATTAACCCCCGTTCATTGAGCTTGAATAAGCTAATGAACTTTCTGCTCCGAGAGCACTGCATTATGTGGTGCTCTCCGAGCCAATACATCACTTGGGATACCAACTGACAGTGATGCTCCGCTTCCAGCGCGACAAACACCTGGTGAGCACCAGGAAGCAGCTGTGTGAGTCGGTGTTGTGCATGAAGTAGGGAAAACAGTTAGTTAGTCAGGCAAGTCAGTCGGCAGGAAGTGCGAACTCCAACATTCGGAGCAGACACTTCCTTCACCAATCACCGCCGATGTCGCAATATCTTCCGTACAAAACACATCATTCGTTGTTAGTGCTGAAACGATTATATCGATTACTCGTTACTTACTCGATAAAAAATAGATCGAACGGTTATTTCGATTTTATCGGCTAAACAAGTTGAATGGTACTTACGCTCGGTACGGGATTTCCCCCTTTGGGGGGTCCCATGAAGTGTGCATGCACCAAAGATGTTGCGAGTACGACACGATGGTACATGATGTCGACTGTACATTTGCAACATCGATGTACATGTAAAAATACAAGCGCGATCTTAGAAACATCGACGCGATCACCGTTGCCGTATTTTCAGCTGACTACCTTTCTTACATACAGCATGCAGGACTGGCCGGCTCAGTATGTGTCTACACTAGCTGCAGGGGCTGGAGTTCCCTTCACGTGCGAGTTGTCTTGAGCCAAAGACAGTAAAGTGGTTTTCAGTTTCGCGTTTTCCGTTCTATCGACGGTTCCCGAACCAGTTTGCTCCACGACGAGCTAGGCTTGGCGTCTGGTCCAATTTTGAGCATAGACAGGAAAAGCAACTACTGTTGTAGACATGGGCATCCAGTCACATGTCTAGCAGCCCCAGGGCGCTGGTTATGCAGCCGTGGATATGCTGTACACCCGTGCATTTATTCGCTGCAGCCCGCTAGCACTGGTCGCATCGGATCAACAAGTAATTACATGCGAACTGCACTGCACCCAGCGTACTGTATGTGCTGAGCGCGCCGGCCCCGGTCAATCCACTGGATTTCCATGTGCGCTGCAGTAGTTACTTGTTGGCGCGCCTCACGTCAGCTTATCCGTTGAAATCTGCCGATCTGCTCCCCCCCCCCCCCCCCTGGCCGGCTTCTCTGACTTCATCGTCGGATACAGCAAAGTCACAGGCGAAGGGCACAATCAGTTCTTAGGTGCAACTAGTGCGTCACCTCTGTCTTGTCTGTATATGTCTGGTCAGTCCGAACACTTGACAAAGTCTGTATATGTCTGGTCAGTCCGAACACTTGACAAACTTTTTGCGGGATCATCGGATCTATACGCCCGATTTCCGTCGTTGGCGCTGTACGCCTCGTAAAATGTTTGCAACTCACAGAATGTACAGTCATGTACCGATGTGACTACAATAATAATCGTTTAGCCGATAAGCCGATCGTGATGATGTCAGCTATGCCACTAAGGAAAAACGTAATCGTTTCAGCACTATGAATCGTTGCTATTTTAGCTCTTCTTCCTTGCACTGTTCCTATCACCTCTTTTTTCGTACCAAATAAAGACTTCCCTGATTATGAACGTTAATTTGACCCTCATAGTTTTAACGCATCGCCTTTTTGGGTAAAATACTGGTGTTCAATGTGTGCCTCTTGCGACGAGCTTTCCAGGAAGCACAATATTGAATAAAAACCTCAAAAGAAGACCAAAGTTATAACCCGGAGAATTATGGAATTTGAGGTTAGTCGAGATCAAGTTCAGTCTGCGTACATTTTTCCGTACCTAAAAAACGGGTCACAGTACAGGTTAATGGTATACTCCGGAGAGTGCACTATATGCATACATGTACATTGTACATCATTCATACAGCGGTGGTTCACATCTACCGGATCACCATGGTCCTACCTGGAGACGGCCATGTTGGCTCCAACAGCAGTGAGCTTCTGTATGAATGGGTCACACGATGCTAGCCATGCTGTCCCAACTGTCTACCTGCCTTGTGCACGTCATGCATAACAGCAGTCACGTGAACCAGAACTGAAAACACTGCAAATATTATGTACTGAGTTTTCCGGAGTATAAGCCGCACTTTTAACACCATAAAGTGATCCCAAACAGTCAGTGACGCGTGTATTGCGATGGTCCATTTAACGATGATAAACAGGATAGATGGCTGTATTAAGTGACAACAAATCTGGGTAGGGCTTATACTCCAGTGTGGCTTGTACTCCAGTGAGGCTTATACTCCAGTGTGGCTTATACTCCAGTGCGGCTTGTACTCCAGTGTGGCTTGTACTCCAGTGCGGCTTATACTCCAGTGTGGCTTAAACTCCAGTGTAGCCTATACTCCAGTGTGGCTTATACTCCAGTGTGGCTTGTACTCCAGTGTGGCTTATACTCCAGTGTGGCTTATACTCCAGTGTGGCTTATACTCCAGTGTGGCTTATACTCCAGTATGGCTTATACTCCAGTGTGGCTTATACTCCAGTGTGGCTTATATTCCAGTGTGGCTTATACTCCAGCGTGGCTTATACTCCAGTGTGGGTTATACTCCAGTGTGGCTTATACTCCAGTGTGGCTTATACTCCAGTGCGGCTTGTACTCCAGTGCGGCTTGTACTCCAGTGTGGCTTATACTCCAGTGTGGCTTATACTCCAGTGTGGCTTATACTCCAGTGTGGCTTATACTCCAGTGTGGCTTATACTCCAGGAAATACGGTACACCATAGCTATAGAAGTATGGCATACATAACGCTCACGTGGACCCTTAAAATATTCCCTTTTCACTCCCTGAGACTTTATGGATCGTGAACATGTGTCTGTTTTATTTTATTGGTTACTATGGTGATGATAATATACATACAACGTCATGTGACCAAAGAAGAGTATCATGTAGTTTAGTGCGGTGTGGGATGGAGGGCATGTCTGCCAGCCATCCCGATTTGGCCGGCACTGTCCCGATATCGCAGGGTGGTGCTAGGAACCCAAAAGTGCATTCGTCGCATGCTTGGACTAGACAATCATACATGTTCATACTTACGTACAGGTATGGCGAATTGTCCCAATCTCCGGGTTTCAAAGGTTGGCAGGTATGGCGAGTGATGTGCTCAGATTTCCTGTGCTCTGTAGAAAGTATATATACCGTAAAGTCGCGGATACAATCCGGGCTTATAAGCACATAAGCCGCTTTCTGCATCAGGATTTGTTGAAAACCAGGCTGGCATGCAAACCATGCTTATATGCACCACTGATATTTTTGCCAGGCTTGTATGCACATGCCTCTACGCGTGACACGCGTAGATCTACCACTGACTACCGGTATGGCGGCAGTTTTACTATGCACCGTACATAGCGCATGCACTCTTGACCTACCTGATCCGTGCTGGCATAGAAGCCAGGCTTCTACTATGTACGTGCGACAGGCTTATATGCATTTGATTTATTTGATTTTCAGGCTTCTATCCGCAATGTACTTGTATGCAAACCCGGCTTTTATCCGCGACTTTACTGTATCTCTCTCTGGGGCCTAGCATGGGGAGCATGAATAGGCTACCGACATGTCTCTGAGAAATGCTGCATTTCTTTCTGTTTCGTCCTTGTTCTCGTGTGTGTCCAGAGAACTTTGCCCAAGCCGTTGCGGTACTGATTGATCCGGACAACGCCAACGATTTCAAAGATACCATCCAGGACTTTATTAAGTGCAATGACCATGGCAGTACAGAATTACAAGCCAATCTGTATGGTGTTATAAGATGGGCAGTGAGCGAATCTGAAATGCGCGATGTCACACTGGCCGAGTTGGAGAAGATAGCGCTCC